CAGGGTATGGGGCGCAGGTGTCATCCGCAGGCGTGGAGGGGGACGAGCAGGGCAGGTAAACAGCGCTCCAGAGCATCAAGTTCCGCACGTGGCAGACGGGGTACAGCACCTGAGCGGGCGGAACAGACGGCGATCAGAATGCAGAGCAGCGTTCCGACCCGACCGCGGTGCTTCGCTGTTCGGGTTTGCAGCTGGGAGGCTTTGCTACATCTCCAGCAAACTCTGCAGGCCAGTGGGCAGCTCTGGCATTTTTCATCAGCTGCCCTGGGATATATAATTATTTTTTCTTTCAGAGAAGGCGGCTGAGGCATAACAACGCCAGCTTTCAGCTTCTCATGAACGAATTACTGCAATGTCCTGTGTGAACCTACACCTTAATAACGTTTCGGAGCGATTTAAACTGCTACAGAACTCAGTGGCCCATGGCTAGCACAAAAATTTCCTTGCACTCTGTGTGATACCGCGCCGTAGCAGAGCTGAACTAATCGCCTCCTTGTACAGGTTCAAATGCAAAGCTAACACTGTCTTTAATGGAAGCGCTCCTATGTTAAAAACTAAGGACATGCAGAATTACTTTGCTGAAGAGGCAGCTCGCTCTTAAAAGGGACTCCCTGACTGTGGAATTTGCTTTCTGTTTCAGATTACAAACACCTCGGGTCACTATCAGTTCCACTCTTCCCCCGGAACCTTCCTCGTGGAAGAGCAGGCAGGTTTTCGCGGCCACTGAGCAGGGGCAGGGCTGGGGGGCGGCTTGGCTTCACGGATGCTGCTCGGACACGGCTTTGCTTTTATCACTTCTGTGGCTACATCACAGAGGCGCCTTCTAAACACTGAAGCAAAACCACCAAAAGATGAACACGAGACAGGAGATTATCAGAAGTCCCACACACAGACAAATTCTCTCAGTTAGCTCGGTACGCGGCAGCGCGGCATCGAGTGGGAGCAGAGGCCAGGGCCCGGAGACTGTACCCACGCTGCCGGACGCGGACAGCCCTGCCTGGACAGTCTGGCAGAGCTCTGCCGTCGCTGTGGCAATGACAAACGGGATCTGCGCAGCGAGCACAGGCTGCGTGGCCGGTGTCCCGGGAGCCAGCCCGCCGCGGAGGGCTGAGGTGAATATAAAACTAACCTTTCTGTAACAGAGGTCAGCATAAACTCTTTGCTACTAAGCCAGGTTTTAATTTTACTCTAAGGAACAATTAAAAGCCACTTCTATCACATGCAAAAGCATTGCACGGTCCTTACAGTTCGGTTTATGGTATCTGATCCTTCCATGAACAAAAAGGGGTTAGATGTGGACAAGCTTTCTGCTGTCCTAACCACGAGGCCGCTTGCTGACTGCTGGTTCACACGCCCACCACACCGCACCTTGAACGCCTTGCGTGCCCCTGTACCAGAGGCACAAAAAGGTGCTGTAAGGCCCTTCCCAGAGGCTGCAGTGAGCTATCGCTACGGAAGAGACAAACCAACCAGGTGCAAGGACTAAGATACACTAAATAATGTGAGTTACTTCTTTTGTTCAGATTTAGGATGAATATAGACACAGCAACCAGGTTTGTATGCAATTTTACGACACTCCTCTGTCGTAGCTTAGTTCTCTAGAAAGAAACTGAAATGTTGGCTGTTACAAAAAATAAAGCAAAGTAGTTACAGAAAACACATTTCCAGCATAGAGAAATCCCTGAGGCTGCATTTGACATTCCTCAAATCTCAGCAAACTTCATGCAAGACTTGAAACGCTGGACTGAACGGAGCGTTCTGAGGCACGCATCGGCGAGGAGCGGAGCACACCGTGCTGGAAATGCCCGTCTCCACACCGTGTTCATGATGGCAGCAAGCCATCACGCCGGCTCCCAGCTTGGGTATCTTCAAGGGACACGCTCTGGGGAACTCTGGGCCCGGGAGCCCCCGCGGGGACTCCCCCCGCGCGGTGGGGAAGGGAGGATACGTACGGATTCGGACTGGGAGGAGTAGAGCAGGTTTTTAAAGGCTTTGTTTGCTGCCCGCAGCAAAGACCAGACAGAACAGGTCCGTTCCTGAGTGTGTTTTTCTCCTCTCTCTTTCGCGTTGTTGCACAGGAATGTACCAAAGAGGCAAGAGTAGGTGTGCTGCACCAGTTTCACCTGCACAGACCAACACAGGCACTGTCACGCGGCAGAAGATACCAGCTTCATGCGAGAAGCAACGTTCAGGCTGCAGAAGCAACACACCCCCCTTCTAACGGCTGATCTACAAACGCACCTAACATTTTTCGTACACCTGCTTATAAACTAACTGCAAAAGAACTCAAGCATAGTGGAATCTTTTAAAATAATAACTAAATAAATTCAGGAAAAAAATATAAAATACAAAGACAACATATTTGTTCATAATCAAGTATAAAAGGCTCGCTGATTCAGACTCACAGCCCCACAGGACGGGCAAAGCAGAGAATCATGACCCCGTTACAGAACATTAACGCAGCAGAATGGCAGAGCACGGTGGGGAGCAGAGTTACTGTCTGTACGCTGGCATAAGCGCACACAGCACCCACACCCTGAGCATTATTCACTGCATCCCGTGGTCCCAGCCTGACAAAATAGCTTCACATGAACTTCACTTTCCGCATATAAATGACTTCCATGGGATTAGTCAGACGTTTAAATGAAGACAAGTACTTCAGTACTCTAACAAATTCAGGGGTTTACTCTGAAAAGGCCGCAATGCTACGGGCATGCTCACAGGCAGCTCCTGTAGCTCAGCAGCGTGCCGTGAAGCCAGTTACAACCTTGTGTATCTCATTTCACAGCCGAGCTCAGCTAGGACTGGACATACACTCGTTACACGGCTGAGCTGGCAAGTGGTAATTCAAGCCCACTGCAATCACAGGAGCGTGCTTCACATCTCGTAGTGGATCAGACACTTCATAAAAACTTCGATGCTTCAGATTACTGCAGGCAGTGACTGCCGCTTTCCCAGAGCCCTGCTTCCCAGCCTTGGGAACGGGTGTTCACCATCCTAGGCAAATCTCTAACAGGAGAGCTGTGCACTTCGGAAGAAAATAAACACAGCTTGTACGGCCTACACATTTTCAAGAGAAACCCTGGATGGAAAGCTAAGGGGGAAGTTGGTTTTAGAGGAGGAGCCTTCACCTCAAAACAAGACCAAGGTTTTATTGCACTATGACTTTTTTCACGCTGTTTGGACGTATTATGCCAGAGTTACTTCAGCACCTCTTAGGTGAGACTATTAAAGTCGTATCATTTATTTCTTTCTTTAAAAAGAAGTCCTTAAAGGACCTGCTCTGGTTTTCAGAGTGAGCAGACCTCAGGTCCCATGGAGCATACAAGGACTTCTGTCTGCGGTACCTGGGCAGTTCTCCCGTTCCCTTTATCAGGCTGCAGTGTGTCACCGATAGATGCGAAAATGAGAAACCCCTCGGGGCTCTGCAGTATGTTAGTACTGGGTACTGGTTTAGAAGCAGTCTATAAAACAGAAATCTCTCAAGCCACAACTCACAAGGAATGCTTCGTTAAACTCGAAAGAGCAAGGGAACTGCCTCTGGAGCTGATGGACGCAGTCCAGCCACTGTAAAAACACTGGGCAGCGCTCATTTAGGTCATCCGAATTCTCACCATGGCCACAGCGATCTGCAAACTTGTGGCCAAAATCCAGCCACTCCGTCTCCACTAGCACCTGGAAACCCTGCAGAAATGAAAGTACAGGTGAGAAGATCCTACTTTTCTTTGGTTCCATTTTCTAAGACAGTCTGAGACTCGTGGGAATCACCTTATTACTGTCCCTCTCGCTCCCTCCCACTTCCCTTCAGCATTGGCCTCATTACTTCTCTTTACCGCTTCACCTAACGCCCCTGAGTTCTGCAACGCTGCCCAGTGACACCAAGACGGACACCAGCTCCCAAGCCTACACGAACAGGACAGGGAGTATGGCAGGTTAAGCCCTTGTTGACTGGCAGGGAGGATCCTGCTGCGAGACCAGTCTTGGCCAGGCAGGGGTGAGTAGGAACTTCACCTCGACCACAGCCCTCTGGATGGTGGTAACCAACACTGCGACAGGAGAGGAAATCCGAAAGCTCTCCCTTGAAAATGAGGGGCGGATCTGTGTGTCATGAAAGAAAACAAATCACCCACGAAAGGACATCCACGCTCAGAGTGCCTGCCTGTGTGTAAACCAAATGTAGTGGTCACCAGGTGGAGCAAAGGTCGAGTTGCATGGTTTCTTACGCAAACGAAAAGGGCAGAGAACATTTCAAACCAGTGCCCAGCTGAGCACCAGAATGCAACATCTCATCCTGCAGGACCTAAAACCCATCACAGGGGAGGAAGGCTTTGATTCTTAGCGGAAAGACAAATGGTAGAGCACGCTTATTAAGTCAGTGGCTGTAATCAGAGCAAAAATAACAGCTGACAGCTGAAAAGCTTGAAATGTAACAATGCTGCAGACTCATTTTCCTAAAGCTTTCTGGTCCTTGCATAGACAGCTACAGTTTACGGTCGTCTCTGATGCAGTGGGGACAAGAAGGCAGGCAAAGTGCATGTCCAGAAGAACTCTGCACTTTGAACAGGCACAACAGCACTCGGCGGCGGGACCAGCGGGAGGTCCTGTGCCAAGGACACAGCAGGATGTTTTGACCTGACGGATGCGAACTTCTACAACCCGTGTGAAAAAGGATCTCAGAAGTTTCCACAGTTTCATCCAAAGGGCACTGCTACAGTCGAACCTTCTGGTCCTCGTGTGCCCGAGGCTTTAAGCCGCAGTTTCTAGCACGGTGTTCAGACACATCCTTCTGTCCTAGGCAACAAAGGCAGCTTGCAAGTGGGCTGGCAGATAGAATCCAGCCATCACATATCACAATGCTGAAAAGTGATGGGGGAGAAAATTCAGGCTGAAAACCCAAGAGAAATAGAACTAAGTGACAGAGGACAACGAAGATGTGAAACTGGGAAAACATGCAGTTGGGAAACCCAGAAAAGAGAAAGGCTTTGTGTTAATAGCTGGCTGAGAAACTGCAACGGTGTAATGGAAACTGCAGTCCGTAGTGCTTTGTACTACACACTCCCAAGCTAAACATAGGGAAGCACAGACCATGACTCTGCAGTTACAGCAAAGGGGGAAATACAATCTGCTCTTGAATTACAGACTATATTTACACCTGTACGTAACTGTATCTGCAGACTACCGTTGCTAAACTCCCGCTAGCTTTAGTGCCTTTTCTAGTGGAAAAACCTGAGATCATTTCTAGACAGACTTCCTCAGAACAGGACCCAAACGCAGCAGCTACCTCATGCGCTAACAGACGGTTTACAAACCTCTGTGGTCCTGTAGTAGGGATCGAGCAGCAGCTTGGCCAGCGCCACAATCTGGGGGGTTCGGTCCCAGCCGTCCGAGCAGTGCACCAAGACTGGTCGCTGGTCTCGGTCCACAGCGTGAACTACGAGTAGCGCGGATTTCAGGAGCACAGACAAGTGCTGCAGCCATTTGGTGCTTTCCAGAGCCGATAACCAGCTAGAGGAAAACAACAGAAGACAGTTTTTGCTCTTTTAAAACGTTTTCAGGTTTGGATCTTTGAATCTGTCAAGTCAAAGCTCCTATTTTAATAAGCTGTGAATGTGATTCTTGAATATTTTTCGTTTACGTCTCATTAACATTTTCCCAGATCTGTAAGAAACAGAGCCGCGCAGTCCACCTGAGGAACAGCCAGTCTCTGGGGTCTGCTTTGCTGCGTAACAGTTGCAAGACGCTTAAATAACATTTTCCCAGACAAGAGCACAACACATCACCAGCAACGGACAACGTAAGCGCTACTGGGTAATCACCACTCCCAGTAGCCTCTGCCGTCTCCCTTCCTCTGAGCTGAGGATTCAGACCACCCCGCAGTCCCAGTACCACTGGTGTATCTTGGGACTCTGCCGCACGTCCCTGACAACTCTCTGCTTCAGTGGAAGGGTGGAACCCATGGTGCCTTTAAAGTCTCCTGTACCTCAACTATTCCCAGGCTTTACAAGCTCTGCTGCAGGTATCTTAAGAATCTCTACCCTACGGAGACCTACACATCCAGTTTAGTAAGGGTGCCCATTCTGGATCTGCTTTGAAACCATGGCAGGCTCTCAGCAGCAAATTCAACACAGAGAAGTGGCAGGGGCAATAGAACTGGGGCAACTACAGTGTCTCAGCGAAGGCCCAATCTTCCAAAGCTCCCGAGACGATAGGCCATTAGAGGCTAGTTACCCCGGAGTACTGGAGGGCTATGCAGTACGTCTCCTGAAACGACACTGCAAGTGCATGAAGTACATGAAGACCACTAGAATTTCTGAAGGAGAGCCAAGCTGTGAAGACTAAAGAACCAGGAACAGCAGGCAAGCCTAAGTGCTAGCCCTTAGAAGCCCACCTGAAAGTAGCAACATTCTAGCACCAACACTCAAGGCTACATTATCATCTCAGATCTCAGTTTCTAGGTTCACTTCAACAATAATAAAGCAATTGCTTCCTTTAGCTCAAATTCTGTGGAAGTGAAAAATACAGCTTAGCTTTCTTACACAGGAAAGTCACTAAGGGAAAAAACACTGAATTTCAGTTTACAAATCAGCAGCAAAAGAATGCAGTTGCAGAAACACGTAAACAAAGGCAAAACCCACCAAACCTCCACTTACTTTCCTGGATCTGGCATCTGTGTGCAGAGCAAACGCAGCGACTGAAAGCTCTTCCGGATGGAGTGAATGTTTGCCATCCCCATGAACACCACTTCACAGTTCGGATAGTATTCTGTGGGGAAATACCAAGCAAGAGGGAAGAAACGAAAAACTACACTAAGTTTAATTTCTAAAACAAGCTTCTTCGTAAAAACATCCACTGTTACTGTGGACAGATGAAATCATCTGTTTAGAAATACTCCGTAAGGAGAAACTAGTACTTGGGGTTCAGTAGGTACTCCAGACATCACAACACAGCAAACCAGGAAAGAGCAAAGTGTTTGTGTATTTATTTGCAGTGTTTCACTTCACATTACCAAAAGCAGAGTCCAGACCTATGGGAATAGCGGTATCGCTGTGCTTGAGGTTCTAGAATGTTTTTAAGAAGACTGAGAAACATCGTCAGAGACTGCAAAGCACCAACAATATTTAACTGATAATTTATGGATGTTCTTAAATTTGGTAAACTAATGTATATAGATTCCTTTTCCTAACCACTCGAAAAGGCTGAGAGGTTACTGCATTCACCGCTTTATGCTGAGGTTTGCTATTACGAGGAACAAGCGCCACAGGCATGAGAAATCCTCCGGGCTGAGGCACACAGCAGACGGGCGGAACCGCTGCGCCTGCCTCCGGATGCTGCTGCGGGATGTACTCCGGCAGCCGGGCTCCGCTGGGGAGGCAGCACCGGCACACACGGGGCCCCTTGTCAGAAAAATACCCATGCATAGGCTTTCCTAGAGTTAGTTTCCCTCTGTCGTGAGGCTTCGGGACAAAAATGATGACACAATAGCCAAAATGACCTTTGCTACAAGAGAAAAAAAATTAATCAGGATCCAGAATATGGGATGTTGAGTGCTTGCGCAGGAAAACGCAGCGGTCTCTTCAAAGAGCATGTTTTCTATCATCGGATTTCTCAGCTGTTTCTCAGTCCAACAAATCCTGGCCCAAACCAGAACACGACTGGCAGTATCAGCCAATGTAAGCATTTTTTGGTCTTTTTACTGAATTTTGTTCTATACAAAATAAAGCACAACATCTTTTGTAGAGAGAGAACGGAACAAACTTGGCAATACCTGGAGAAAGCTTCTCAGTGAAAAGGAAGCACTTAATGCAGGTCAAATTATTGCAGGTGACAAGCTGTTAGGAAGTTTTCTACAAAGAGTCCAAGAACCAATTATACAGGAAGAAAATGAAACCTCCTGTATACTATGCTCTTCTGTTTTGAAGTTTTACTCTCTGATGACAAATTACTTGGTCGTTTTGATGTGTTAAATGGAAAATTCACCTTTTGTCACTGGTGGCTACATGGCGAAGTGCAGCCATTGCAGCAAAGGCCAAAACAAGAATATATGGTCAACATAGCTTTTGCTATCTTATCTACAGTTTTTCTGCCCGGTATTTTGTCCTAGACTCTCCACCCCTGGAATTTTAACAGGCTGCATTCATATCCACTAGCGTCCATCAAACAGCATCTTGTTTATAACCCCAGCAATTTACAAGTGCCAAAGAATGCAGAAAGCGGTAACTGCAAATGTGTTACAAATGCAAGAGCAGTCAGGATTTCAGCACAGCACAGAATGGCGGGGGCTGGAAGGGACCTCTGCGGATCATCTCCAACCAACTGCAGCTGCTTTGGGTTATGACACAAACGCTGAAGAATGTTTCAGCTTTAGACAAGCTGCTGGAGAGCCGTATTCTCCACAGCCATTCTAGAACATTATCCTCTACAGTTAGTGGACTTTTACAAGTTTGTTCAGGTTTATTTTAGACATCAGCACACTGGACACCTTTGTCTCGCTCTAGTTTATGTATCTGACTCAGCAGGGGAAAGCTGATCAGCATATTCCACACAGTTCAGCATTTACTGCACACTGTCACCAGCTGGTTTCACGCTCTGAGAAACACACTTCATTACCAGCTGAACCTGTCCCTTCGCAGGGCTGTGACAGCTGCAGTGATCCAGAACTTTCATACCGATGAACAGCACCTGCATCCGCACGGCCTGCTAAATGTGCAGCGCTGAAGTACATCAGCGCAGTTATACCTGAGCAAATCCTTCTGACTAACTCCAGAGAACTGAGCAGAAGTGCTGCTTACCTGGGCACTCACAGCCTCCACCTTTGGCTCTGTTCGCCACAGCCGCTGCGTAAGATCGTGCGTCTAAGATCAAAAGCTTCTGAGGCTGTATTGCCAAACTCTCTGCTCCTGAAGCATTAGAGATTGAGGAATCTGGGGAAGAGACAGGCGACTTATGAGTAACTAGCAGGCTACTTCTGACTCTGTTTACAACGATTCACTCCGGTCCCACAATGCATATGCACTGCACATACAGAAACTGGAGAACGCCCCATTAAATAGAAAGGATTCAATGTGCTACAGGACAGAGAAGAGATTAAGCTTTTACATAAAGCTCTGCCCTTTCCAGAAAAGGAGCAGTGACAAACTTACCAAATTCCACATCAGAGAGGTCCCCTCCATTGGAGAAATCTCTGGAACAATTTCCATTCATTAACTTGTTACTGTTGGACCTCGAATCTGAGGCACAGGCTTTGGCTACAGACTGGACAAGGTGTTCATCATCTGCATTCCTCCAGCCCCACCAGCTGACCTCGGGCTGTCCACAGCGGGAAATAACTGCTCCATTACTCTGGTGCCTGACAAGGGAAAGAATAAAAAGAACAGCGGTGCGTAACTTGAAGAATCAGGATGAAAAACACAGAAGGCACGAAGAATTCAGTGGTTTGTTCCAGTAGTTTCACCCCTGTCGGGGACCTCTTTGTTGTTCAGCAGTTATCCTCAGCCCGCGATTGAGTGGCAAGGCATTCCACTCGCTTCCCTTCAAAGTGCTGGCTGCGACCACACGGTCACGGAAAGGTAAAAGTCAAAGCCTGGGTCAGTAAGAGACAGCACAGCATTTCCTTGCTCAGTATTGTTTCCTGTTTGGAACAGCAAAGGAGGCGTTAAAAGTGGTATTCAAACCCGCCAGATAGTCAGGTCGACTGCTGTAATACCAGAGTAAATAGGAAAGTTCGATTTAACTCCTGCTAATTTTAAAGCTAGAAGACAGGAGTTAAAGCCACAGATTCACTTTTTGATGGGGTTTTGAAAAATCAAAACATACCACTAATTAAATCTGCAGGGTGTTACAATTTTGGTAGGAGATACTGGCAGAATTTGGCATGCCTTCTGTCTGATGATGCCTACTGGTCACCCAAAACCTTGCTCTTGCACATCGAGGGTATCCAGGAGTATCACAGGAGGTGGCTCTCGAGCACGGCTGAACCATACCCAGAAGCCAGTGTTTAGGTACTGTTTTGCCAGCTAAAAGGAAAC